CATACCCGCACTTGTTTGCAGCAGGGCTGTGAGAGCAATGTAAGGAACCAAATGTGTTGGACTTTTTGCTCCCACAAGCTCTGGGCTTGTGATAGAGGCACACAATCCACCCACCACTTTTCTCTCCAGAATCATAGAACGGTTTAGGTTGGAAAGGACCTTAAAGATCATCGAGTTCCAACCTCTCTGCCATGGGCAGGGACACCTCCCACCAGCCCAGGTTGCCCAAGGCCACCTCCAGCCTGGCCTTGAACACCTCCAGGGATGGGGCCTCAACAACCTCTCTGGGCAACCTGTTCCAGTGCCTCACCACTCTCAAAGTGAAAAACTTCTTCCTAATGTTTAATCTAAGCCTGCCCTCTTCCAGTTTATAGCCATTCCCCCTCGTCCTGTCACTACATGCCCCAGTAAAAAGTCCCTCCCCAGCTCTCCTGGAGCCCCTTTAGGTACTGGAAGGCCACAATAAGATCTCCCCGGAGCCTTCTCTTCCCCAGGCTGAACAGCCCCAACTCTCTCAGCCTCTCCTCATAGGAGAGGTGCTCCAGCCCTTGGATCATCCTCATGGCTCTCCTCTCGACACACTCCAGCAGGTCCATGTCTTTCTTATGTTGAGGACTCCAGAGCTGGATATAGTCCTCCAGGTGGGGTCTCACGAGAGTGGAGTAGAGGGGCAGAATCACCTCCCCTGACCTGCTGGCCACAGTTCTTTTGATGCAGCCCAGGATACAGTTGGCCTTCTGGGCTGCGATTGCACTTTGCTGACTCACGGTGAGCGTCTGGTCAATCAGCACGCCCAGGTCCTTCTCCTCAGGGCTGCTCTCCAGCCATACCCCACCGAGCCTGAATCAAGCCAGAAGAAAGTCCACTCTCCCTTCGGGACTTTACTTCTCCTTGGGGTGTTGCAAATCCTCAACCAATTCTGAATAACATGAGCAAACTGCAGCGCTTCAGGAGCAGTCCTCAGTGCCAGGACAATGGGCGACAAACAGCTCTCCAGGAGCTGTCGGCATCAGATACCTACGCGCTGGGCAAAGTTGAAAAGCCTACTGCAAAGATTTTTTTCAGCCCTTTTCAGCTGCAGACCCCTCAAAAAGTTTCAGTGGACATGTGGATCCCATCACATACAGATTGTAGTACAGATAAGAATTAATTAATACTCCAGAATCATTTGTCACAGAGTCCTATGGAAAAAGAGCCAGAAGAACTGTCTCCTGGCTGAAAGCTGTTGGTCTGACTCGGTGATAAGATGCAATGGATGCTGTCCTTTTTCATGTCAGGATTAACTGACCTTGTAAGTTGGCCAAAACTGGCACAGCAAATGCTCTGTAACTTCTCTGCCATGTTCCAAACCCTCACATGAAACTGCCTGTGCGCCAGCTCCCAGCCAGGCTAAAGGCAAGAAAAGAAGAGGGAAGATGTCAGCTTTTATTTGAGAATACTTCATTTCCAGACTACCAAATTTCAGAGGTTTTTTCCAGAAACTTACTGCTCCTTGCCTGCCCCTATCACTTTCTTTAGATATGCCTTCAAAACCTTCAGTATATTAATTTTATTTCTCCTTTGCATATCCTCTTTATATCTCTCCCACAGCACCAACTTATCATCTTTATTTTCACTGTTTCTCTAAAAGTTTCATTCCAGACCTTTGCTGATATGCTTTTTTACAATCTGTGATGATGATGCCTGATCCCAGCAGCGGGGATGAATGAGCATAACACAAACGCCTCTTGAGCTTTCAGTATTTTTTCCTAATATAGAAAATATTCCTAAATATTTTCCAGTGGAGACATATAGCCCATTAGGGTATAAATACATATATGGACCAGCTACAGGTCCGCTGACATCACTCAAGGCAGAAGGGGAATATCTAAGAGAGGACTCATTACTCTTACATACAATTAGCTCAGTTCACACTGTTTTTAATTGCTGCACATTAGGTGTTAGACAGTTATGCTACACCATCCATAGGGAATGCAGACATAGGTTTTTTCTAAATGTGCTTAGCATGTCAACATTTTAAGCATGGGCTTGTGATTGTTACCACTAAGGCTTGGTGAGAGAGGGGCCTCGGTATTAACTATTGAAAGCAGGGGGCCTAGTAATTGCTATTGAAAGCAGATCTGCGGGGTATTTGTATTCTTTGTCATGAAAGATGTTTACTGTATTCAGCATTTCGCTGATCACCCTATAGTGTCTTTTTTTTTCTTTTACATTCAAAATTCATTAAACAAAGTTGTTTTTAACAAAAAAATGTCAGCACTGCTTCACATCAGTCTAGCTGACAGTGCGTTTGACTAGCACTTTCAGCCCATAGAGCTTTTTTTCTTTTTCAAAACCAAAATGACAGTTAAAATGGAGCAGTTTATGCCATCTTTTTTCTTCACTGGACTCAGTTATGAAAATAAGTCCTATTATGAAAAGTGTATTTCTAGAAACCACAAAAGCACTCCTTCAGAGCTGCGCTTCCTAAGTGTTGCACTCTTCTAATAGAAAATGTTCTCTAAAAGAAATAGTAAGGCTGTGACTGATTGCAAAAGCAAGTACAAATAAAGTTCAAATCTTTGAGGACTTTAAAATACATTTAATTAAACATCTCAATACTGCAAAATGGGCAATTTACTCTCTAGTACAATCTCATTGTACGTCAGCTTGGAAAAGGGTGTAGCTGGGAATATTCATGTATGAACAATATGCCATTTGCTGTGCCAGAAGGGAAAATAAGTAGAAGACATTTCTCCCAGACCTTCTTTGGTATTTAACTCTAGGGTGGGGGTTTGGGGGGGTTAATCTTTCTATTTCACTAAGCAAAAAAAAATACTGAAAGAAAATGACGGGAAGCGGAGAGCCATCCAAACCAGAACAAATACAGAAGACAATAATGAGAATACATTTCAATGTGCATTAGAAAACCTGTTTCGCAATACTGTTTCACTGATTTCCCTTCAAAAAGGTTCAACTCTCCAGCTCCAAGCTCCTTTAAGAAATCCTATTTCTTCAATGTTCATTTTTACATTAATGACTTCTGCTTGGATTTAGAGTTTCATCTCCATTTTTATTGTAAAAATATTACTCTCTATTCTACATTGCTTATAATACAGAAAGGATAGTTATTGCCTGTTTCATCTAAAATGGGAAAAGAGAGAATTAATAATCTCCTAGATACAAACTGGGACAGGAGTTAAGCAGCGTACTACAAGCAAACTAATCCCTATGAAGTTTGCTAAACACACAGTGATACTGCTGACCGATCCCATGTGAAAGCACGCGTCCTTTCCACATGTAATATCAGACATAGATTAATAAAATCTTATTGACATAGATTCACTCTGACTATAAATTCAGTGCTTACGATTTTTCCAACGCATCAGCAACCTCTTGTCAAAGCCCAGAGTAAGGACAAGGACACTCCTAAAGAGTAAACAAGACAAGAAAAGTGTTAAAAATGAGGGATTTCAGAGTAGGAAGGAACATGATCACAAAATGATCAAGCACCGTTTCTTATTGTAAATGTCCAAGTGTAAAAAGGAAAAGGAGGTAAGTTGCAGAACTGAGAGAAGAACAGTAGAAAAGGACATGAGGGTCAGTTAAAGGGAAGAAAATAACCCAACAAAATGTGGATGAGAAAGCTGGAATATGTTTCCTGAGCTCTGTGAAAGGTTTGGACCGTGCAGATGGAAAAATATTATATTGTAGTAGCACACTCCATAAGGTGAACCAGCAAGCATTCCGCTTTCTGTGGAATGGTTGCAGAAGAGTGCTCTGCCTCTGAGGAGTTAATGAGAAATCAGTGCCGAGCCATAGCTTTGTGAGCTGCTGTTCCCAAAGCTCTCCTGTATTTTAAATCGGTTCTTTACATTCATGATATTTAGGGTTTGATGACTTTAGGATACGGGCTATTTGCCAGGGCCACAGGGCACAATCTCACACCCCATGGACACCGTCCGAGGCTCAAAGGAGCCTCTTGGCAAGAGTGACCCCATGCAACTTGTGACAGCAGGGAAGCCACAAAGCTGGAGCTGCAGCATCCTTACAAGTGGGGTGAAAAGTCTCACCCACACAGAAATAGGAAAAGAGCAACTAGCTCCCATCTATTTTATTCTTGTGTATTTGCTGGGGTGGCAAGGGGGACAGAGCAACGGTGATGCAGCCATCATGTCGGTTACATTCATATCAAAGACTACTTATTAGAGGGGTATGACACAGAGTGATGTGACTCTTTCAGTACACGGATATTCCCAGAAAAGGAGCTGACCTGAGAGGGAAAACACACAGAAGACACTCTGGCAGTGCAGGAACACTTGCCCGGAGCTACACCAATAACTTCACTAACAAGCAACATGAGAGCATCTCTCCCAACCCTCCTCCTTGCAGCAACCCTGCCTCCAAAGAAACTTCTCTCCCTGACTTGCTAATCATGCCCCGGTCGAGCAGGGGCTGGAGGCAGGAGAGGGGTGGGAAAAGCGAAGGGGGCTGGTGATGGGGGGGGACCGGATCAGGGCCGGCCCCGGGGACACTCCGCCCCGCCGGGGCGGGACGAGCCGCCGGCCCC